ACCGTTCATATACAGCTAGGCGTTCTGACGCCAGCAAAACGCCTGCAAACGAAGCAGACGGACTTGCGCCCCGCATAGCACGCCGCAACGCCGGCGCACGCGTCTGCCGCTTTGTGGCCACTCCCGTTGAGGTTCATCGTACAAACAAACAGCAAAGAAATTACAATTTGAGACACCAGCAGTTTTCAAAACCTAAAATAAGAACTAATTACTGTACACAAAAAATATCCTACCAGATAACCGATCTTCTTAACAGAAATTATTGTGTATTGGAATTAGCCCAGACAATAGCGTCCGTGTTTCTTTTCAAAAAATACCTTACGGTATACTTCAATGTTCCTAGTCTGTATTCCTAGTATAGTTCGCATCAAAATAGATTATACATTTTTTGTGTCTCATATTTTTATCTTCTCGGATATTGTTTTATTTTTGATTTATGGTGTTTTTGGTTCATTTCCTGTGCCCTGCTGCTGAGGGCTGTAACGGGGGTTGGGACCTAGTCAGGTGATTCGTTTTCGCCTTTTGTCCCAACCTCCCTGACAATTGTGTCAAAAATAAACAAACAAACAAACAAACAAACAAACTTGCCGCTTGGGGTGGGTCGGGCGTCCACTACCCATGACGTACCGCGCGAGCCTTGTCCTTTAAGGGGTATTCACACGAGGGAGAAATCCCGGGGATTTCTCCCCGGCACGCGCTTCCCACGACGAAAACGTCAGGCTTTGCTACCTGCAAAAGCCTCGCGTTTTCATCTCGTGATGCGCGCGTGCCGGGGAGAAATCCCGGGGATTTCTCCCTCGTGTGAATACCCTTTTAGGTGCTGTTAATCAAGGCCCCTCTGCGGGGCTCACCGTTCCAATCTGCTGACGCTCGTGCGTTCACGCCCATCGTGTTGACGATAGTACGCTCGTGACGTCATTCGACTGTTTACGGTTACCATGGCGAGACCCGAATGGCCGGGCGCCTGTTCGGTCTCTGGTTCGGTTTCGCTAACCTGGGCGCCTCTGTTCCCCTCAGGAATCATCCATAATGTAAGTCGTCAATATTAGAGTGTTTTAGTGGCTGAAGAGGGCGGTCCCAACGGGCGCATGCTAAACCCACGCTTCAAAGTGACGAGAGAAAGGAACAACGACGACGAAATACGCGCTCTATTTCGTCAAGAAATTATGATATTTGCGTCGGCACAGACACCTCTTGTCAGAAAAGCGTAATGCATCTACTGCATCAACCTGTTCTCTACCGCTCGACGCCGCAGCCTGTTCTGCCTTTTAAATAATCAGAAAGGTTTCTTTCCTTACCTTTTCAGCACAAGGGCTGCACACGACCAGTGAATGTCGTTTAGACTTCTCCCATAGAAACGTGAACTGCTGTAGGAAGGGAGGGCAAAGCGACCCAATCGATTTGCATTAAATTGCGGAAAAGGTTGCCTTTCTATCATACAAATGAGAAAAGAAAAAAAAAAGAAAAAGCTTTGGGCGGTTTCTATTATCCTAGTGCTTACTATAGTTTTGTTTCAAGTATTTGTAGGCCTTTTTTTTTTTGCAAAACAATTGTCTAGTAGACTGAGACAAAATGCATCTATTTGTCCAGTTCGTTCCCGAACTAGCGGTCGTGACTACGAATTTCTAGATTAATAGGGCGACATTGTAAGGGGTAAATCGATTCCCCAAAATTTCGGCTATTGGGCAAATGCCTGCACCAGAACCAGACTGTTGGTATTGATGACGTGGAACCGGCATAACCACACATACCCAGAGCACCAGCGAACCCGAGAAGTAGACTGATCCTTGAAAGGTCTCTTTCTGTACTACAGGCACACTGAGTTCAGTACCGGCACTGGAGGAACCATAGCCCTTAGACAGTCATGGAGCTCACAACGGAATCGTGGCCTCTGATACTGCCCGTGAGCACTGCTCGGCTGCGGATACACTCGGCCCCCGGGCAGAGGGAGTGTACCGTTCCGTTTCTCCGGGTGACTGCGGGAATTCCTGCACGTCCGGCACAACCGCCCCAGGAGCAGAAAGGCTGGGCAACGGGTTCAGCTTGTACTGTGTGAGCAAACGACGAAAACAAGACTGGAACACTAGTGGGGCCAGAATCTCGACAGTGAGAGAGCAACTTCTAGAGATTTCATTAGTCTTAACTTGAACAAAGTTTTTGTTGTTGTTGTTGTTGTTGTTTTTTTTTTGCTTACCCTCTTCAAATGAAAACCTGCATAATCGTTATTTACTTGGTGCGCTCAGGGCTCGTGCCCTGAGAGCGCAATATGTCCTCAGTCAACGAACGCCACCAAGCAACTTCAAAAATAAAAAAAAAATAAAAAATATTTCATAGCGATATTTGTTCTGGGCTCTACCCACCACTGGAAAGTGCGTCCGTTGTTGATGTTGTTTAGTTGGCTAGAGGGTCTGTCGTCGGATGTTGTCAAATACCCGAAAAAGATCGCCCGCTGCCCGTGGCGGTACCGAAACTTAGCACACTGCCTGAGAAGCGAAGGCGCTACCACAGACCTACACCACAGCGTTAACATCCCGTTTTATGTGTAGGGTTTTTGTAGTGCTTCATGGCCACTGCTCACGCTCACCGATGAAATGCAAAGAAATAGCCGATAATAAAATCGTCGCTGTCGAACTCTCAATGCCAAGAGCTCGTGCCGGGAGACGCGCTTTCAAGCGCACCGGGAAAAAAAAAAAAAAAAAATCGTCTGAAACAAAATCTTTAGATGTCCATATTGTTACGGACGCTTTTGTTCACCACACGGTGCGTGAACGCGACGCGGACTCCTAACGACTTGGCCGTTAGGAGTCCGCGGCTATCGCTGTAACACGTCATGTGCCACAGCGAATGAACACAGGACTGCTCAATTTTTGTTGCGATGCTATTTTCGACTTCCGCGACCAAAAGAGTCGTTGTCATCGGCCTTCCACGATTGGTCAAACGCTCACTATGACGTCTTGAGTAGGATGAGTTCTGCTCTCATCGACGGACATAAGAGCAAAGTCTCTACCCTGACGGTGTTGATTTAGGAACGCGATGAACAGGCTTCCACCGTGCTTTTCAAGCACCATGGAACTCGTCGCTCACAACTAATAATCTATATCGTAATGTCAGGGATAGAAAACGTAAGAGGGCGCCACCGAAACGTCTCGTAGCCAATAGAAGTTAGTCGAAGGAACGGCGTCGTAAAGCTAACTTAAATGAGGCTGGGACCGAACCGCGACCGTCTGATAACGAAATGGGTGCACAGAAAAAAACACAGCCACGAGCAATATACATCCGTGGCATTCGCCTCTGATTGAACGGAGCAGCCGGAGGCATCTTTGCGCACCGGCTTTTTTGCGGGCCATGACGGACTGCCTCTGCCTGCCGCTCTGTCTCTCAGATGGCGCCACTGGCAACCTCGAGTGCCTCCAACCGCTAGAACCGGCGTGCGAGCAAGACCAAGGGGGACGTGCAGGGACGAGGGGTCGGGGCGGCTTCTCCGTTTCGGTCACATTTTTTTCTTCGTCGGGTTTAGGCTCCAAGCTGTCACAAAACGGTACACACAGACGCTTACCTAAAAACGCGCAAAACCAGGTGTCCAGAACACGAGGCTGCGAAATGAAAAACGCCCTGTTGTAGACGCCCGGCGGTATAGACGTAGCTTTAGAGTCCGTCGTCATGCGACGAAACCTCCGTCCACACGGTCTGCAGCAGCGCACGGTCGGCGTCCCCCTGGAAGACCGACAGAAAGGTCTGAGTACCGCTCGGCGCTGTGAGAGCTCGGCCCGTTCAGGCTGCTCCCACTGGCCCCCACCGCACGTACGGGAATGGAGCGCCACACGGCCGCCTGTAACGTTGAAGCGGCTCCGGTATTAGAGATCTAATCGGATTGGAAGCTTCGTGCCCGATATAGCATTAAACCTCAACTAGGCCAAATATGTATCTGTTGTTTAGAACGTGGGCCCGAGCCAGTCCTGACCGAAAAGTATTTCGGCCTGAACCTTACTCAAGCCCAACTGTGTTTGATTAAATTTGTGCCTCCGCTTTACGCGACAAAATGTTCACAATCACCGAACCATACTTTTGCTGTTGCTGTTTTTATGATAATTTATGTACTTATGCGTGAGATCTCAGCCAAGCTATATTTCTTTATGTGCGCAGAAACTACTTCTATAGTAATGGCCACGTGGATGACGGAGATGTCTTGCTTTATGATCAAACATTCTTCAATACATCAAAGGAACGACATAGTAACGCAAATGCCCGACCACGCACGTCGATTTATCTCAAGTCTAAGTTAACATTTCATTGAAGATATATTTAGAAATGAAATTATGCCTAGTGGAGTTGTGTGGAACTTGCACATCCCTTCTTCTACTACTTCTGGCGTGTTCAACCGATGCCATCTTCGGCATTCTGTTCGCTTTCTGAAGCGATGAACATGCGTGCGGTGGAAACTATAATGATCGCACTTTGGACTGTGTTTTTATATACATTGGAACGGTATGTCGTATGTACAGTACATTTAGACAGCGAGAAGTCAGTCTTGAACTTTGGTGCCTTCGGTATAGATGAGGAATGTATCCTCTGCAGCAGGACCGCTAGCCTGGAGCCTTTGACGTGCATCAGGTTGTGGTGACACACGACCGCACGCTGGTACGATCCTCATCTCGATCGAAGCAGGCGGGGGAGGAGTTTGACTGCAGGATCTTCTGGGTCGTAGACTAGGAGATTTCGTCCTTGTATTTACACAGTTCCAAGGTTAACTTTTCCATTTGGAAAGCCGGGGTCGCCGGTTCCCTATTCCACGAAACACTTTCCATAATCCGGCGCGGTTTATTAGAAATCGACCTTAACCTAAACGAATCCCGAATACACGATGATCGTGGTTAGAATTATTAGTCTTTACCAGATTGACCAAAGCCCAACTGGGCGAACCTTGGGTTGCGCTTGGTTGCCCGCCCGGTGGTCGAGCCCCGCGGTGTCTAACGGAAGGGGGTCCCGGGTGGGTGGCGCAGGGCATGCTCGGCGGCGGCGACCCCCTGGAGCTGGGCGGCCGGCCCGGCACGCCCCCGACGCCCGTGCTGGTGGAGGCCCAAGTCCGGCGACTGGCCGAGTCGGCGGAGCTCCTCGTTCGCTCGCTCCCTCCGCACGCCTTCGTCGACCCCAGACCGCACGGCCGAAGGATGTGTAAGGACCTAGAGGTAACGCACGGCCCCACCCCGGGCCCCCACCCCCTCCCGCCCCCGCATGCACCCTCAGGGTATGACGTCATCCATTGGAGCTAGGGCGGGGAGTGCACACCACGAGTGCTGCGTCAGGCTGCAACTCGTGCTCTCGCCGATTGAACACCAGTGCCGGCCAAACATTTACGTAGCACTCGTGTTCAATCTGTGCCCTGGGATGGCCTAAGGCAAATGAGTTGTAAGAGGTCCATCACCGCGGCCCTTTTTTTTTTAAGTCGTGGCCTGCGCGTGACGTGATCGGAACGTGCCGGCGGTTATTTCTCCTTGCCCTTGCTGAGAAAAACAAATTGGGCGCTGTGTATGCTGCAGAAGGTACACGCGAAGGCGACGCACCAATGATGGCCGCCGATGTGGCACCGATGCGTGTCATGCATACTCCGTATCACCGACGCAGCGGACGACGAGCCATCCACAGCCAATCCAGCTCTGCGGATGTATCCCTTTACTATGCGCTTGCTCGCACAAGGGCAGTGCTATGCTATAGCAGCTATAGCTATCGGATATTTGGGGCTTCCATATTTCTACTGGTGAATAAAGCGGTATTCGCAGGACGAAGAAATCCCGGGGATTCCTCGCGGGCGCCGCATCACGCGACGGAAACTTCATGCCTTTGTGATGTGGCGCTACTGCGTCAAGCTATACGTAGCTGAGAAAGAGAGGAATGTTCAGGCGGCAAAAATTATCCTGGTTTGGCGGCAGAACAGTTTGTTTTCCATATTATTTTCTCGTTAAACTCTTTGTGGTCAAATGTAGAGATCGCTAAATTCGACTGCGGTGGTGTCAAGTGTGCACACCGCTAAATTGCACCGCAAACGCGGACTCTCCTCTGCCCGGGACTTCGTCAGAGTGAACAACGAAGGTGAAGAGACACCCTCTGTCGACGTCACGCACGTCCGTCCGTGGATTTCTCCCCCGCGTGAATGGCGCTGAAAGGGACACTGCCAGGGTATTTCTGCTCGCCTAGGTTTCTATTTGTACATGACATACGAGAGCCCAACTACCCAGAACACGATTTGCGGCTCAAAATTTGATTTCTTTCAGCCCGTAAACTGCCGATCGAGAACTGGCCGGTTTGAGTCGCGCTCACTCGCTTCTCCGTGGTCACGTGCCGTTCTCTTTGGTATAGACACAACCACCAGAGATAATGAAAGTCGTGAGCCGTCGAAGGCACACGCTCAATATTTTAAAAATTAAAAAAGAAAAATGTGATATTCATTTTTGGTGGTTTCGTAAAAACTGCAAATACGTCCATTGAAAAAAAAAAAAAAATTACACCATCTTCCCGAGGGGAACCATGGGGTGATGCGGAGCATCGCGGATCGTTATTAACGGTGTTAGTAACGTTGGTAACTTGCGTTGGTTACCACACATCGCATGAACGTTGTTGGCAACTCCGCGATGCTCCGCATCACCCCATGGTTCCCCTCGGGAAGATGGTGTAATTTTTTAACGTGCATCACGCAGTAGTGATCACACGAACGCGTGCCGGTACGAAACTCATCCAGATCGAAACGGGCGGGGGCGGCGGGGATCGAACCCAGGAGGTTCCCAGCGAAAGCTTCCGCTCCACGCTCCGAGCTAAGACGCGTTAGCCCACTCGGCCACTTCCTCCCCTTGAACGCGCGCAGCGCGCTACCGCTGCTTATATTCACACTTGAAGGAGAGGAGACTATTCGCGACTCCAACTAACTATAGGTGGCGCCACTCATTTTCAAAGATGGCGGGTTTAGTGAGGGTCAGAGATGCGTGCCGCTGTTGAGCCTGTCTAGTGTGCTGGCTTCACTGAGCGACATAAATTATTTCTGGTAATACGAGGAAGCTAATGCTTTATGAGCTCAGGTCACCTCTTTAACCTGAAAACAAGAACGGTGTTTACCGTATTAATTACGGAAGGATGCGCGTTTTAATTCTGGAGCGAAACCGAAACTTACCTCTATATTGGATTTATTTCTCGATAGAGGTCTTAATTTTGGATTCTTTTATGACTTAAGATGTGTCTCACATCGTAATTATTTATTTAGAAAATTTGTTCGCGAAAACTTTATTTTGTGACATACCGTTCGATACAGGCTGATATTCGTAGTTGTTGAAAAAATCAGTGCTGATATCTGTGCGCTTTCGCTGCCTTTTCTCGCTCAGATAATTGTCATGGGAAATAATGACAATTATCCCAGCACAAGAATAACAGAATAATTCCAATTTTTACGTTATGTCCACGAAACGCATAAACTAATAAACGCTGCTCTCACTGCAACAACCCAAGACGGAATCCGAGTCAGACAGCTGAAGTGTGTGTGTGTGTGTTTTTATAGCACCGCGTGACGCGTAGGACTTCATATTGCATCCAGCGTTTAACTGTTTGTCTATCTTGATAACTCTGTCAGAATTTTTCATATGCTAAAAATAAAACAAAATTATATTTTTCTGGAAAGACTATTATGGTTAAATAGAGTATTCTCGTGATCTTGACGTTAATTAGAGGCATACATTGCCGCGATTTGTATTAATAATAATAATATTAAAATTCACATATTTGAATAAGTAATTCTTCAAGCTCTAATATAATTTGTTGCTTATGATCTAATTTTAAACGCGCAAAGAAATATGATAATGAAAACTGGGCTAATTATCATCAGTGGTTCCAATTGCTGCATTTTAATTACAAATAAAATGAAAATAGTCTAAAATCAATGAAAACATTCTAGCTAATGTGAGACATCCATGTAAAATTACATTAATTGTGAGTAAAATATATTGTGATATCAAAGTCGCGACTTTTGACAATCGGCGAAACGTCCAAAGTCGCCGCCAATATACTTCCAGACCAAATGCCCAAAAGTTTAAAAAAAAAGTTTTTTTTTTTTTTAATTTCTGGTTTTTTTATAACATTTATTTACTTAAAGTATTTGCTCACCGTCGTTTTGCCAATCTCAGCCTTTCCAGTTCGAAGGTACGCCTACCTGCTTGCACGTCTGCTCACTGCAGCACGTTTCGTTGGCGTTGGAAGCCGGTGAAACAGTAGTGAGTTTTAATATTGCGTATACGAGCGAACTCAAGCCCTGTGTGTTTGCATTAGCTTTGCGCGTTCCACACTGCGCGTGCGCGGAGCCCGAAATTGCGGTCTTGGATGGCGCATGGCGATGAGGCGCACGCACAACGTGGGGCACGCAACTCTAACGCAAACGCACACCGCTTGCGTTTGCTTCTATGCGCAATACTAAAACTCTCCAGTAAGGTACAATCCCATACCGGCTGCAGCACTACGTTGGGACAGTGAAGAGTGTTGTTTGCATTCGGAAACGCCATTTCGCGAGCCATGATCGCGAGCAGTTCCGCCATGCCCACGGAGCAGGAGAATCGGGTGACCCTCACTAGAGCGCTTCCCGTTTGCGCCGCGGGAGGGCGAGCGTCGAGCTGGAGACGAGTTGGGCATGCGCGCGCGGTGTGAGTAGAAGCGAACGCACGCGAAGTGCACTCAGCTGGTAGAGAGAGAGAGCGCAGAGAGTAACGCGCAACTGTTGGAGAGAGGGAAGGAGGAGAGTTGCGCATGCGTAGTGTGAGTGCGGACTACGACGCCGCGGGACATAGACCCGAGCAAGAGATGCTCCGCATCTAAAAAAGAAGTTCCACAGCCACGCGATTTCGGGCAACGCTTTCCTCCTCTATATGTCTTCTTCCTCCCCAGTCCAGTTTTGGTTTCGAACAGTTGCGGTTGTCTACTTTACTAAAAATACAAGTGACGCTGCAAAAAAAAAAAAATGTATTTTGGGTAGTTTCCTGACACTGTGAATTCGCGTGGCAAAAAAATTAAAAACAAATAAGGGCAGGGGTATCAATATGCTTTTAAAGCGCATGCTTTTGAGAGCGCGACAATCCTATTGTAACCGTGGGGCATGCATTTGCAGTCATGGGACTTCAGCCAGGACCATATTTATGGGTCTTTCTTCTAAGAATATAAAACAAAAACAATTCTCTACCCTAACACAATACCGAATATAACATTTCGCTATCTGGATTGTGGAACTGGAAATGTTAATACATTCTATCTGGATTTCTGGTTTTCAGAAATTATTCCTTTGTCTGCAATCTGAATGTCAGTCTTGCAGTAACAATTCCAGTTAAACTTCTCGTTTCATTATTCAGATAGCGAAAAGTTATTTGGGCTTTCGGGTAGGGCAGGCGGGCACAAATTAAGGGAGAGAAGATGAGATGAGAACGCCGAGCTTTGGTTGGAATGATTAAAGGGTGGGCACAAAGTTATCGCTGCCTTCGTCTCCACTGCACACATCGAACACGTGAGGAGGTGAACGCCGATTGCCGGTCGCCGGGGTTTCGCGTTTTAATGCGTTTGACGACGGCAGTGGACACAAAGGCAGCTTCTGTTTCCACTGCACTGTACCAAACGTGTAAGAACGCAAACGCCAGACACGGGCGTTCCACATTCTCACACGTTCGATGAGTGCATGCAGTGGAAACAAAGGCTTTGCGTCTAGCCACTAATCATTGCAACCAGAGCTCGCAGTTCTCATGTCCCTTCTCGTCTTCTCCTCTCCCATAACGTCTGTCCGCATTACTTCACCTATTTTCATCAATACACTAACCATGTCAATAAGCAGCATCCTGTGTACAAAATACGAGCGCCACTATTGGTAAAGACATCCAAAAATTAGCAGTTCCCTTTAGATGTGTTTTTTTTTTTTTTTTGTCACGTGAAGTGAGCAAGTAATGTAGTCGAATATCTTTTGACCTCAAACATGCCAAACAGCTGAAAAGGAGGCGGCCTTAGTGATTTCATTGGACACGGTGACACTGCCCGGAAGGGGCGCCGTGACCGGCTGCTCGCATTTTTTCGTTTTTTTTCTTTCGAAGGAGAAATATAGACGCCAAAAATTTATGTTCAACTGCGTTCGTCAGGCGCGTTCCCCGTTAACATCTGCTGCTCATGGTCTTCGCGTTCC